CTCGACTACACCCTACCAAGGAAAATAAGAGAAAGCTTAAAGTTTATAGTAAACGATTAAGAAAAATCATTAATTTTACAAAAAAATCGCTCAATATTTATTATATCAACAATTCGGAGAATAAAACAAAAGCCACATGGAAAGTGATAAATAAGAATAAATACAACTTACCTAAAGATAATATTACAAAAATTAATTTTAATAATAAATATATATATGATCGCGAAAAAATTGCTGAGGAATTTAATAATTATTTTATCAATGAAGTTCAGCCCATAAACCAGTTTAGTAATAGTCACCAAAGTAACACATCCATAAGTAGTAGACTGAACTCAATGTTTATGCCTGCATGTATTCCTCACGATTTATATAAAATAATTAATAAATTAAAAAATACTAACAGTGCTGGTAATGATGATATAACTACAAAAGTAGTTAAGTTAGTGGCCGTTGAAATTTCCCCAGTTCTAAGTTACGTAGTGAATTTATGTATTGAAAATGGTACTTTTCCTAGTGCTTTAAAAATATCCGTTATAAATCCTTTATATAAAAAGGAGGACAGATATGACCCTAAAAACTACGGGCCTGTCGCTTTGCTTCCAACATTCTCCAAAATAATAGAAAAAGTAATATATAACAACTTATATTCTTATTTGGAAGTTAATAACATCTTAGCAAACGAACAATATGGTTTTAGAAAATGTAAAAACATAAATATGGCCATGTATGGATTTACTGAAAAAGTGATCACCGGTATGGATAATCGTACACCAACAACCGCCTTGTTCATGGACATGACCAAGGCGTTTGATTACGTTAATTTAAATATCTTAGCGCTTAAACTGGAAAAATATGGAATCAGAGGTAATGTGTTAAATCTTATTATATCATACCTGAATGATAGGAAACAAATGACTAAAATAAAAAAAGATCTGTCCTTGTACTAATATTGAAATAACATACCTTTCGCAACAAAAGAAAACAACCTACGGTGTGCCGCAAGGAAGCGTACTCGGTCCATTACTATTCCTAATATATATCAATGATTTGCCCCAGGTGACTCAGCACCCTATGACCTTATTTGCTGATGACAGCACAGTTTTATTCACGGGACGAGACAAGGTCTCAATTGAAACGGACATAACTCAGAATTTATACAGGATAATAGAGTGGCTGAATGACAATAATCTTAAAATTAATTTGGATAAAACGCATATTATGTCATTCAAACAAAGAAAAAAACAACCAAAAATTAATATTAACTATAAAACTAAAATCATAAACGAAAAAGAACACACAAAATTTCTGGGAATTTGGCTGGACGAAAAAATGACATGGAGTAAACATATTGAACACATAATAAAAAAGATAAATCAATTCCACTATGCACTACATAACCTTATAAAAATTACAAATCGTGAAACAGTCATAACCGCCTACCATGCATACGTCTCTTCAACATTGAGATATGGTATAATATTTTGGGGAAATTCTCCAAAACGCGAACTAGTATTTAAAGCGCAAAAGAAATGTTTACGAGCAATATGTCAGTTGCAGGTTACCGATAGTTGCAAACCGCATTTCAGTGATCTTAACATTCTGACCCTACCATCTTTATATATATTTGAAGTAGCAATGTTTGTAAGGAAACATTTAGGCATATTTGAAAACGCTAATAATAAACGACATAGGAATAAACTACGCACAATACCTCATAAAACAGCCCTGTATTCAAAAAAGTTTCCTGGGTATGGCGCCTAAAATTTTTAATAAACTCCCAAAATACATCAAAGAAACTGATAATATAGCCAAATTTAAGAATTTTCTTTCGAGTTTTTTAATATATAAAGCATACTACTCTATCAACGAATACTTTGAAGATAAAATGAATGGTTTTTAGTACCTGCAATAATTAATGGACGATTTATTTATTATATGTTTATATTTATGTAATTGATAATTAAGATAATAATTAATGTTATTTCTAAACATACTAATTATAATTGAAATTGTTATTTTATTAAAAATTAGTTTTCATATTGCCAGGTTATAGTGCCAGTTTCATAGTGCTAGTGATAGTGATAAACAAATATTTGTATGCCTTTGTAGGCGAAACATAGTGTTACGTATCATACCTTTTCCACCAATCTTGTAACTTTTTACCTATGTTTTACAAAGAAATTATTTGATTTGATTTGATTTGATTTGATTGATCATTGTTATCCTTCAGACGTTAATTTCATAGTCATCATAAAAACTGAAAATGTCAATCCTTAACATTGGCCTCTTGCTTGTTACGTATTGTAAAATTACACCCAGTCCCAGACGGTGTAGTATTATGTTCAGCTACAGTTTGAATATCCCACGGGTCGCTCTTTAGGATTGTACCAAGCTTCTGGTGCTATTAGATTTTAGGTTTTCTTGGATAAGCTAAAAACAGTTTAAAATAGCTTATGCTTAGTTATTTCTTGTTAACTAAGTATTCCTAAGTGCGATTAGAAAGGCGATAATTAAATTAGAAATAATATAATATTTTAATTTTTACCTTGAAAGCATCTGTCATAATTATGATATTGGGACGTTGAAAACCTAAACCACTGTTGACTGGACTGGAGGAGCTTCCAGCGTACGCCTTATCCGCAGGTCTGATTGGCTGGGTGACAGGAAAGGACTTTTTGAGTGAATGGTCTCTCCGGGTCGTCGTTAATGGCTGCTCATCCGATCCTGTGGCGACTAACGCCGATGTTTTTCAGGCGTCCATTCTCTCCGCAACTCTCTTCCTGCTGCATACTAATAATCTGCTTATGCCCGGTATCTATGGGTATGAAGACGATAGCACAGTTGTGAAGAGATATCAACCAAGTCCTCGGGCCAGTCGGGAATCCAGTCTGAAAGATAAGCTTTTGTAGAGCATGTTAATCTCACACTATAGGCAGACTCCGAATAGGAGGATGCCGATCTTGTAAAATTCAAAGCTTCCAAAACGCAAGTACAAAATGGAGCAAGCTCATTTTAGCTTCTTTCTGAAGTGGAATGGAATATGGAATACACTGACCGTCTTCAGTGTTTGAAATATCCTCAAATCTGTACTTCAGGCGGTTCATTGAGTCTAAGACCAAAGCAGCTGCAGGGAAGCTAGGAGTCCTTGCAACGGTGTGGCGATACTTAATGCCTAAACAGCTTCTTACTTTGTATAAAGAGCAAGAGTAAGAGTCCGGTCGTACATGAAACCGACTGCTATATATGGGCTGGTGCTCCAAAGTGCCACCTAGCAGCTTTGGAATCAATGAGAAGACGTGCTGAGAGGCTTATTGATGACCCGAATCCAGTTAAAACCAATCTTACCCGCCTTGATCATAGGCGCAAAGTAGCCAGCCTTTCGGTTTTCTACAGGATGCACTGCGGACTGCGGAGAGTATGGGCAGGAATTTCATTCACATATTCTCTATCTTGTGGTCTAAACAAATCAGTTACTCTATGGATTTTTTTAAATCTGCCGTAAAATACGCCATTTTCGTATGGTTGGCAAATGGCGCAAATTGACAGTAGAATAAAAATAAAAATCCATTAAATAACTGACTTTTGTTTAGACTATAGGATAGAGAATTTCGTATAGATTCTATAATGCTAAACTTCTTCTTAGAAAATGATTTCTTATATTTACGCGAACACTACACATTGAAATAATACTAGTTTTTACGGAATTTATCGCGTATATTTAACTTTTTAAATACCCGACGTTTCGAACGCTTTACAGCACTCATGGTCACGGGCGGGACTGAGATGTTCAACCCGCGTTAAAGAACATATAGCTGATGTGAAGAATCGACGCTCCGGGAAGTCTGCAGTCTGTGAACACGTACAGGATCGCCCCCGTCACTACATCAGATTTGATAGACCGCAAATCCTCGCTAAAGAACACCGATTCCTTCCAAGGATGATTCGCGAGGCCATTGAAATCAAAAAACATCCTAATTTCAATAGAGAAGATGGTTGCGTGCTACCATATGCTTGGGATCCTATAATAAATAAAATTAAATCCCAACCCAAGCATACAACTGCAAGACTTCAAGATACCATAAGTTCATACTGTATAGATCGGAACAAAAGTTAAATTTTAATGTATGGTAACCGCGGTTAACTATGACATGGACGTTGAATATCTTAGTCCCGCCCGTGAGTGAGACCATGAGTGCTGTAAAGCGTTCGAAACGTCGGGTATTTAAAAAAGTTAATTATACGCGATAAATTCCGTAAAAACTAGTATTATTTCAATTCTTCTTAGAAAATTAGTCTCTAAATATAAGATTTTATTGTTTAAAGTGTTGTGGGTTGATGCGGTCGCGTGCGACCGCTCGAGAATTGACGGGCGCATGCAACCGCTTGGGGGTTGAAGGGGGAACAAGGGGTTAATTTCTCCCTCTCCCTTCCACCGTTGGATAACCAAACGTTCTGCCAGTGTGCACTTTTTCGTTGTTGAATTACTACGCATTCGAACTAAACGGTTTGCTACATCGTTCATCATGCGTACAGCAAAGGAGTGAAATAAGTTGGCAGCATCTGTGTTTCCTTCCGATTACAATGTAGGTATTTCCAAGGCAAAAGTGAATAGGCTTTTGTTATGTAAGTGCACTTCACTACCTTAGGCTACATCACCACTTACCATTAGGTGGGATTGTTTGGCTGAGAAAAATATTAAAAAAAGGAAATAATTTGCAATAGTAAGACTGGTAGTCATATTTAAAAAGCAATAGCGATGTCCTTCGGCAAATAAAACATTTGTAGTTTGATTATTCCTTTATTATTTATTGCAAACAATATTAGTGTTAAACATATAATTTTTCAGCCATATCTTCAAAACTAGGCGTATCTAGATCAAACAATACACTCCATTTAACTAGCATAATATAATTAAACACAGTGGCATGTCCACAAAGAAATATATTATATTTTAACTAATGTATAACTTATAAATAAGTTACTGGTTTCGAATTCCAGGTTTACTTTCTTTTCTCAATAGCGATATAACGACCCGAATGAGGTTTAAGCACGAAATCAAACCTAAACAAAATGTTGTTGTGATCCCCAGTAACTAGATATTTACGCAAAACATGTGAAATAATTGTCTTCAACCACATCATCGCATAAGCTTTACCTGAAAAAATGTTATTAAATTTATTAATAAAAAGTTTCTTGATTGACACGCTTGTGGCAAGACGTTTGTCTTTAATGACTGTTTAGTTAAACAACTAAGCTAATTTACATACGCTAACGCTCCTCCACTCGGCTACATGCACATTTATCTTGCACTCCTTAATAGAAATTATTTTGTTTTAAAATATTATTTAGTATATATATACCTAAACAATTTCTTCTTCCCAGGCTAAAAGATAAAAAATAATTTGAATTCTTCGGCAAGGTTTCTGGGTTCAGCCACCTCTCCGGCTTAAAATCATTCGCATCTTCACCCCACACAGGATGTCGGTTTGCACCATATATGGACAACAAACAATTATTTCCAGAATATAAAGTATAATTTTCTGTAAGATAACAAAAGAACATTTTTACATTTTAGTCACGTAAGCATCATCATAATTTTCACATCTTACTTAAATACATAATATACTTAATATTTTCACATCTTACTTGCCGCTAATAATTTACGGTTTGACAGCGTTGACTTTTGTGATAGGCTTGCAGTATAAAATATTTGGTATTGTTTACATTTATATCGAACTGTGATAGTTCAGCGACTGAACGGTTGCCTTAAATTAACCGCCTCAAAACGTGTAGCGTTTGAGACAGTACTTTACTTCCGACACGTCAAGTTCAAGCAATTTTGTACTTTTAAAATGCCTCTTTTATAACCATACTGCACTTATACGATAATATGAGTTGTCATATATCAAGAAAACATTCAAACTAATTGACCTTATATTTTATAAAATATAATTTTATATTGCTACTTTATAATACTAAAATATTACGTGGATATTAGTACGCGGATGTTATATGTGGTCACGATAATTCCCAAAAAAGCACGTCTCGAGACCGGTTTCCTTTATTAGCTTCAGAATTATATGAACTGTTTTCCTATTTCATATGTAGAGCCTAGTACGCATGTATTTAAACAAATAAAAAACCTCCTCCGCTTTATTGTATTAATATAGATTCTATCTAATTCTCTCGCAGGATAAATGATAGAGATATATACTCTTTTTCGTTTAATCGCGTTTCGTTGTCTGACGTCCCAATATTTAGTAATATATTTTTTATTTTTTACATTATAATGTTACATTCTACCATATAATTTCCATTTGATTTCTTGTAACCCTTGATAGACAAAGGACAAATGTTTCATACAGGCTATCTCGATTTTATACTTTGTGCAATCGATTTATTTTGGTAATTTATTTTTTTCATCAAAATTAAATGAAACGCTCATCAGGCGTACATTTTTAGATTTTTCAAATTTTATTTCTTAGTACAAGCAACCCAAGCAACATGCTCGCCAGTAAAATTAATATTGTTAATAGCAGTTATGAGTGTAGAATAATCAGAAGACCGGCTGTGAAAACCACATCACGAGGTAACCTAAATATCTGAAAAAACAACATTCCAAATCATATTTTGTGGGCATTTGATGACAGTCGAAGTTCTTTCCGTGCTCCAAAACCCTCTCAATAATTAAAGGAGCTCAAAGTGCAGCAACAAGTTTCTAAGCTTAAATCTTTTTTATATAGAATACGAGTGACAAAAGTTCACCTGGTGGTTAATGGATACTGTAGCCCATAGTTGTTTACATTTATCCTCGATTTAGAATCAAAATTTAGATACGTTGTTTCCCTTAATATTCCATTTATTAAACATAATATATAAATTTTGAGAATCGCTTTACTAACTATTTTATAAAAATGTTTTATAGCATGCATATATACATAGCAAGGAGCATGTCCATAAAAGGTAAATATAATGTATTATTTTAATACTTACTTAGTTTAAAATCCTTGTCAATAAGTCGGCTTATAACAGGAGCAGTTGGGTACAACCTCAAAGATTCCTTTATAACTGCCTCTAAGTATGTAAGACGTTGTAAGTCTCGCTTTTCAACATCCCTGTCGGACTGTTCAAATACTTCTTCAAGCCTTAACACATATAAACTTCACATATTAACAGTCTTGAAATATATAAATTAAGGAGATATAATCATAAGAAATGTTATAAATAATACAGAAGTTCAACATTACAGTCTGCAGTGTCCCACTACAAATCTTTCAGGAGTCGCTTCCAGCAGCGTTGCACGTCAATCACCACACCGCATTACTTATTACTAATTATATTTCTGATAATTTATGGATATAAAAACGAAAATATTTGGAATGATACAAATTTTACAGATTGATTAAAACTACTTTTACGGATTTTATCGCGTTTAATTTACAATTATAATTTTTGTGTATACTACTAACAATTGTAATTTTTACTTATTCCTTTTTACAAATTGTATCAATGTGTAGTGTTCGCGTAAATATAAGGAAACATTAATTTTACAGATTTTACCGCGTTTAGCTTCAACTTTTTTAATTCCCGTTATTTCGAGCACATTTCAGCGCCCTTGGTCACGAGGGAAGATTGAGGTGTTTGACGTTCCCAATTCATAGATAACAAAGGCTACCTTAAACTTTTAAATATAAATTCTTGGTTCGATCCACGCAGACGAGCTTGCAGTATCTTGAAGTCTTGCAGTAGATGCTTGAGTTTTGATTTAATTTTATTAATTATGAGATCCCAAGCAGATGGTAGCGCTCAGCCATCTTCTCTGTTGAAATTAGGAAGTTTTTTTAAAATTTCAATAGCCTCACAAATTCTTTTGCGAGGATTTGTGGTCTTAAATCCAATCTCATATAATCGGGAAGAACCATCGGGGATAAAAGTCGGGTATTAAAAAATCTAAAATTTAATGTTTTAAAATCCGTACAATTAGTTTTACTCCATGTGAAGTATTCACGTAAATATAAGAAATCTAAAATTTAATGTGATAAAATCCGTGAAATTAGTTTTACTCCATGTGAAGTATTCACGTAAATATAATAAATCTAAAATTTAATGTGATAAAATCCGTAAAATTAGTTTTACTCCATGTGAAGTATTCACGTAAATATAAGAAATCTAAAATTAAATGTGATAAAATCCGTAAAATTAGTTTTACTCCATGTGAAGTATTCACGTAAATATAAGAAATCGTTACGAAAATATTTGATTACATAAGACATTATTACTAAAAATGAAATTACAGACCGAAATTATATAAAATTATACGTGGTAGAGCCATGCTGCAGTTATATTAGATGTATAGTTGTAGCACGAATGGGTCGGCTCGACCGGGGAAGGACCACGCTCTCACAGAATACCAGCGTGAAATAGTAGCTTAATGCTGCTGTATTTCGTATGGTGAGTGTAGAGAACCGGCGACCCATTTTACTAGAAACGAGGCATTCCATCTTAGTCCTCACGGGTGACAACACATCTGCATTTTGATTCGTAATCGAGGATAGATGTAGATGTCTATGGGCCACAGCAACCACTTACCATCAGGTGGACTGTGTGCTCGATTGTCACCCTATCCTATAAAAAAAAAACTAATTAGTAAATAAAATGACGTAAGAAAATTAAATTTGAAAATATAAGCACGACTAATATTTTTTCAAGTCAAAAGTCACGACTCTCAACCGCTAAAAATATAAAGTGGCACCGCTAATGAGAATGTAGCGACTCCCAAAGTATGCTTCCTCATAGTCCACATTCGCAAGAAAAAGTAATGTATCAAACTCTTTGGTCTTCTGTACAACTTGTCGATCGGTTTGTATTAGGTTTAAGGAACTAAAGCCTTTTCTCGAACGTAGTTAGGTGGGTTAACTAACTTAGAGACCCTTACAGAGCTGACTGTGAGTGAGACGGCGATGGGGCGTTACAGAGGCTATTTAATTTTTATATGAACTAGTTGATAAATTTTTGCGAATGATATGTCAAATTAAAAAAATGTATTTTAAAATAAAGGAAGAAACTAGCGATTAGAAAGCAGAATAGAGACTGGGAAGGTCATTGGTATAGATATGTGGTATACTTTTGAGTTGAATGAATATGTAAATAAAACGTACTAATCTTATAACCCTTCAAGCCCTAAGCGGTCCAATTCTGCCGCGGCGCTATTTATTATTTTTTTATTAGTGTTTTAGTATAGTGTTTTATTATAAAATTGTAATGAAAGTTTTTGTGTGAATATAATTTATCTTTTTACGTAAATAATTTCGAGTAATATATATTGAAATAATTGTGATTTTCACGCTGCCGACATTCGTATGGTATGTTTTATTTTTGTTATCAAAATACAATAGGCTTTTTGTAATGAAGTAAAACCTGACTTTTATATAGAGAATTTTGTATAGATTTTATAATGCCAAACTTTTTCATAGAAAAATGGTCTCTAAATATAAGTTTTACATACACATAAACACTCACGCCTGTCACCCAGAGGGGTAAGCAGAGACTACAGACTTCCATTTAGCACGATCCTGACATACCTTTCTCGCCTCTTCCACATCCTGTCGCATACATGCTCGTCAGTTAAGGGTACTCTTAATTTGGTCCATTTTTAGTATATCGCCAATTTGGTCGACAAACTTCCGCCTAGGACGTCCCTTTCCGACTCTTCCATTCACTTCTGCAACATATATTTGCTTTGTCAGTCTTTCCGCGTTCATTCTTTCTACATGACCAAACCACCGAAGCATTCCTTTCTTAATCCTGGTCACCGCATCATCTTGCAAACCACACTCTTCTTTTATCACACAGTTTCTCACCCTGTCACTCAGATTCAGCCCTAACATACTCCTTAGCGACCGCATTTCTACTGCATTTATTCTACTCTCGTGCTTCTTCTGCCACACCCAACTTTCACTACCATACGTTAAAGTAGGGACTAATACAGCACTGTGAATTGCCATACGTGCCTTTTTTGACACATTATGACTTTTCACAATAGAGTGTAGAGCCCCATTTACTTTATTTCCTGCATTCACTCGTCGTTCAATATCCTTATCATATCTCCCATCCCTGCTGAATACACATCCCAAATATACGAACTCATCCACTTGCTAAATTAACTCTCCTTCTATTCTTATTTCACATACCGTCTTGCTTTCATCTCTTTCAAAAACCATCACTTTCGTCTTACTTGCGTTCACTTTCATTCCCCTTTCTTTTAATGACCTGTTCATTAATGTAACCATCATTAGCAACTCGGCCGCCGACGACGCAAGTATGACTTGATCATCGGCGTACAAAAGGCATTTGATGGTTAACTCACCCATTCTTAACCCGCATTCTTCAACTTTCAAATTTTCCAAACAGCTGTCCATATAAGTTTTAATGGTTTAAAGAGCTGTGGGTTGGTGCGGTCGCATGCGGCCGCTCGGGATTTGCCGGGCGCGTGCGACTGCAAGGGAATTTTAAGGGGACTGAGGGGTGAAGCTAGTGTGAAACTAGTTTATACTTACTCTTTGTAGATTTTATCTTGAACTTCCTTATACGAGCCGATTAAGATAAGTGTAATTACAAGATTTGTGGCAACTGTGTCATAACCGGCCACAATCAAGGTATTAACGTGATCTTTTACGTCCTGATAAGAGAAAACGCTTTCGCCATTGGAACCTTCCAGATCAAATAACATATCGCTAAATGACTTAAGATTATTACCTGTAAGATGAACATATTTTAAAAAATAAATAAAAATCTAAATTAATATACTCTTTGGTGTTTAACGAACCTGTGGCCTTAGTCGTAGTAGGAAGATACGTTTTTTTACGTTGCTTTATAATCTGAAAGAGTCACAAAATTCGAGGTAAATAGAAATAATTTTAACCGGCAGGTTATGCGATAATTACACCAACTACAGTTCTATGGTATCCTACCTTCGTCGCATATTTATAGAGCCACGGGTACGCTTTTGCACACACAGACAGCCATGGCCCTCACCCCATATATACGTATATTATGGACCAAGGATTAACCGGAGCACTATGTATAATGCCCGGACAACATAAATAATAAACAAGTTAAATCGAGCTACTTAATACTGATTTAAACTTTATTATTTATCGTGTTATCTGGTCATACCCTATTTGTTATACATGGAAAAATGCCTACGTTTACCCGCCTTGTGTGTGTGCAAGGACAGGTTATCCCTCCCACGGTAGGACTCCCAAGACCGGCATGGTGTTCCAATTTCGCCTGGCTTTTCGTTCTGACAGGGCTATGGAACGCTTTTTTTATATGCATATAAGAGGGTGCAAACGAGCATGCGGCTCACCTGATGTTATGTGAATACCGCCGCCCATAATCAACCGCAACACTAGGGGAATTACAGGTGCGTTGCTGGCCCTTTAGAAAGGAGTAAGCTCTTTTCTTGAAGATCCCCAAGTCGTATCGGTCCGGAAAAACCACCGGTGGTGAACTATTCTACAGAGAGGTTGTACGCGGAAGAAAACTCCGCAAGAAACGTACATTGGTGGACCGCCAAGCAACCAGATGGTGTGGATGGTATCGGGACGTTTGCCCCGTAGTGCGTTCACGAAATTTGGCGGCTGGGATTAATCCGAACAATTCCTCAAAGCACTCCCCATAGTATACGCGAAAGAAAATGCAAAGAGATGCAACATCTCTTCGCAGCGCCAGTGAATCGAGGCGATCGGAAAGCACTCGGTCGTCGACGATTCGAGCCGCTCTGCAATGGATGTGGTCAAGTGGAAGGAGCTGATAAGGAGCCCAGAGATGAAAACAGTATTTCATGTGCGGCCGAACCTGCGCCTTGTAAAGTTGCAGGCGGTGTGCCTGCATGAAATACTGTCCCGCTCTGCTGAGCACGCCAAGCTTTTTAGAGGCCAATTTGGCCTTCTCTTCCAAGTGACCACGAAACTGCACGCCACTCGATATGTTGACGCCGAGGATTCCGATACTGGCTGAGGCAACAAGGGGAGTGCCTTGAAACTGAGGAGATACGACAAAGGGGTTCTTTTTAGCGGTTAACGCGCAAACTTGTATCTTCTGAGGGTTAAAGTGGACTAGATTCAGTCGCCCTCAATCCGAGACTTTGTTTAGCAAAGACTCGACTTCGGACACAAATTTGTCCCGGTACTCGGAGACGTTTTCCCGAGAAATATTGGCACGATCGGTGTAAAGAGCATCACCAGTGCTCCGCCCATCTGTGAGTTAGGTAGACCAGAAGATCACCATCTGACCGACCACGGCGAAAACCGTATTGGCGATCACTAATCAGCTGGTGATCTTCAAGGTAACTCATGAGATGGCAGTTAAGAATAGACTCCATTGCTTTGGAGAGCAAGGAGGTGATGGCAATAGGCCGGTAGTTGGACGGGTCTGAGCAATCGCCTTTTTTGGGGATCGGGTGGACGAAAGCCGTCTTCCATGATTTTGGGACTACGCTTAGAGAGAAGGAGTACCGGAAAAGACGCGTTAAAACCGGTGCTAACTCTGGAGCACACGTCCTCAGTACAATTGGGGGGATTCCGTCAGGCCCACTCGACTTGTGGATGTCCAGGGAGAGGAGTGCTTTGCGAACCGAGCGCTGTGTGAACTGCACTTCCGGCATGGAGCACTCACACCGCGGGATGGTCGGCGGCGTACTCCCCCCATCATCGAGAGTCGAGTTGGACGCAAAGAAAGACCCTAGCAGATCGGCTTTCTCATTTGCGGTATGTGCCAGTGAGTCGTCCTCCCTGTGCAGAGATGGCTGACAGAAATTTCCCTGGACAGCCTTGGCGAGAGACCAGAATGCACGGGTTCCAAAAGGAAGGTGAACTAGTTTTTCGCCAATTCTGCCTATGTGCTCTGACTTTGCCTTGGCAATGATCATTGATAGTATGCAATTATACTTCTATTTTAGAGCGCTGGTGTTTACATCCCGGGACGTTGATGCGTCAGCCCAGGCTTGGTAGCACTCCTGCTTATAGCATGATGCTATTTTACAGGAGCGACCAAACCATGGCTGAGATTTGCCTTCAATGGGAACCACAAAGGAAGGAATAAAAAGTTCCATACCCTGAAGTACCACATCAGCAACAGAATCCGCAACAACGTTGGGATCGTCCGGCGGCAGCCTGCAGAATGCAACTGTGATTTCAGCGTGAGTGGCACCACACTCCGGACAAGACAATGGTTCGAGGAGCCTAAAGGGGTGTCGACGGAAAGCTGATATCCGTCCAGGTGAGAGGTCAGCAGAAGGTCCAACGGGGAAGGTGCAAGATCCTCCACATTTGGAAACCACGTAGGCGAAGTAACCAGTTGTGTCAGACCTTATGCCAAGGCAAAATCATGAACAGATCTCCCCGCATGATCGGTTAAACGTGAACCAAGCCATTCTGCGTGATCGACGTTAAAGTCGCCGAGGATCACGATTTCTGCGGAGGGGATCTGCTGTAGCAACGAATCTGTACCCATTTGGACGTGGTCGAAGAGTCGGTCTGTTTCGGCATTACCGCTATGGGACCTATAGAGGCACCCGTAGACGCGCGGATGGTCGTCGCTGTCTACGCGTAGCCACAGAATGGACAGGTACGAACCTTCAAGACTGCCGAGGCGTCGATCGAACCGATGTCTTCTCTGACTTAAACGCAAACTCCAGCCCGAGGCACAATGGAGTGTTCCAGTTTGTACCCTGGGTAGGAGAGATACGAGACATCAGCTGGAGAGGACACCTGAGTCTCGGTCAGAAAGAGCAGAGCCGGCCTCGCCGTCTCAAGATGGTAGTGGACGGCGTTTAGGTTAAAGTGAAGTCCCCTGATATTGCAGAAATTCACGGATAACGTGGCAGGGGTCGCTTTGGTCTTGTTGCTTCATTTGCTCCGAGCAGTTGTAGTCTTGAGCGGAATTTTGCCCCCCCCCCCCCAGAATACGCGGGGCAGCCTGAGCATCCACGCTCAGGAGTGGAGAAACATGATTCTCCAGGGGTGCTGGTACCCTGCAGAGCAGAGCTTCCACTTCACGCCGGTATTCTGTGAGGTCGTGATACCACCCCCGGTTTGAGCTGGCCCATACGTGCAACAGCAACACTCCAGCAATTCTGGCATAAGGAATTTACTGTCGGCAAGTCGAAAGGTAGTATGTATAAAATGTACTCGCCGTTGATATTAATACCGTTCTAGACGTGGTAGAGCCATGCTGCAGCTATATTAGTAGTATAGTTGTAGCACTTATGGGTCGGCTCGACCGGGGAAGGACTACACTCTCAAAGTATACTAGCAAAAATTAGCATTTGAACGCCGCTGTGTTTCGTATGGTGAGTGTAGAGCACAGAAGATTCTTATTACTAGTAACGAGGAATTCCATCTTAGTCCTCACGGGTGACAACGCATCTTTATTTTGATTTGTAATCGATGATAGATGTAGGTGTCTATGGGCAACCACATACCATCAGGTAGACTGTGTGCTCATATGTCACCCTTATACTATTAAAACAAACTAAAAAATATACTTTTTAGTTCAATAGCTCAAAAACTTCCTCCAATGTAGCGGTGAAGAATTTCGGGTATATAACGTCAACCTGTAATAAAACTTTCTGCTGTTGGATGGATTTTGTATTTTGGTTCCGTACTCGGAAAGCCATTGCTACTCTACTGCACAAATGCATCAGCATTTTGATATCATCATTCCATCTTCCTAAGTCCACTGCTGAACATAGGCCTCCCCTAAGTAATGCGACAAAGCACGGTCTAGAGCCACCTGCATCTATCGACTTCCTGCATGTCTTACCAGGTCGTCACTTCATCTAGTGGGGTTCGCCCTACACCACGCCTATCGGTAAGAGGCTGCACTAGAGAATCTTTTTCCCCTTCGGATTGTCGGTTCTTCGAGTTATATTGCCGTCCAATTGTTACTTCAGCTTACTAATCCGTTGGACTATGTCGGTCACTCTGGTTCTACTGTGGATATCCTCATTTCTAAGTTTTTCACGCAGAGAAACGCCGACCATAGCCCTTTCCATATCTCTCTGAGCATACCCATACTGCCATCAGTGAAGGACCACGTCTCAGATCCATAAATCCTCACTGGCAACACGCACTGGTAATATAATCTAGTTTTCAGGTTTTGGGGTATACCTGACGAGAAGATGTGTCGTAATTTCCCGAACGCTGCCCGGCCGAGTTGAATCCGTCAATTGACCTCTCCGTCAAAGTTGGACTTACCTAGTTGGACTATTTGTCCCATGTAAACGTAATCGTCAACAACTTCAGCCTGTGTGCTCTCAACAACTACCTGCATAGGTGTGACTTGGACATTAAACATGGTTTTTGTTTTGTGCATGTTCATCTTAAGACCTATCCGTTGGGAGACACTATTGAGGTCATTGAGCACCTAAGCACTATAGGTCCTCCAGCGATTCTGCTATAAGGACTTTATCGTCGGTAAATCGAAGGTAAGTGATGTACTCGCCATTGATGTTAATACCATGTCTTTTCCAGTCCAGTTGCTTGAAAACGTCTTCCAATGCAGCGATGAAGAGTTTCGGGGATATAACGTCATCCTTGTCTTACTCTGGTTCTGTACGCGAATAGCCATCGTAGCCTTACCGTATAAACACTTCAGCACTTCGTTATATCGGTAGTCAACTTGACACCGCTGAAGGGACTACTATAGCACTGCCCAAATTTTGATGGAATCAAAGGCTTTCTCATAGTGCACATACGCCAGGCAAGTGGCAGATTGTACTCTTGTACTCCTCGGTCTTCTTTACAATCTGCCGCAGGGTATGTGTGTGGTCGATGGTACTAAAGCTTTTTCGGAAACCGGCTTGTTCGGGAGG